ACTTACATCTGCCAATGCAAGGGGCTTTTGGTTCACACTGCAATAGGTATTACTAAGTGAAACTCAGCACTTTACACTTTTTTTTTTTTTGGTCTTTTTGAGACAGGGTCTCAATATGCAGCGCAGGCTGGCCTTAAGCTCACTTTGTAGCCCAGGCTGGTCTCGAACTCACAACGATCCTCCTGCCTCAGCCTCCTGAGTGCTGGGATTACAGGCTTGCGCCACCACGCCGGGCTCAGCACTTTACATTTGATTTTAGGCAAAAGGCTGAGAAGCAATACCCCTCCCACTTTAATGAGTACCTAGCTTTATCTTTGACAAGGTTCAATTTTTCCGTAAATTGTTACTTAGCCAACTTCCTATACGAACATTTTGAATGCACAGGGTTTTGATTCCTATTAACTTAGGGAGTTCTGCAGCGTCTTACGCATGGACTTGCTCGTTTGCATCCTGCACAGAAAGGTTAGGTGCTTGACAGGACAACAAAATCATGGCTCAGCAAGACTTTTCAGCAGTCACATGTACCATTGTTTCCTCTGTCTTTATGCTAAAAGGAAAAGTGGGATTTTGGACTCTGTTTTTCTTTTAGAATGATGTTTCATCTTTGCTTACCTCTGATTCACTGTCTCTACAGCAATCAGGGTGATCTGTTTAAAATGCAACATAAATCACACCACTTAAATTATCACTAAAATCCTTCACCTACTGCCCATTGTTCCTGAGATAAAATTCAAAGCCCTAACTACGCCTGGGAAGCACATTCTGTCCCTGCATGCCCCTCTGCTTGGACCCCGTGGGGTCGTCTATTGTGGGACATGCCAACCTCTGGCCCTCTGGCCCTCTGGCCCATGTAGCAGCTGACGTCCTACTTGCAAGTCTGTTTATTTCCCTTACACCACTGGCAACTTCTCATACTTTAGGTTCCAACTCTGATGTCACCTTCTCAGAGAGGACTTGCATAAAACCTGTCTCCTCTCCTACTCATGAATACATTTCCAAAGCACTAATTAAACCTGAAATTAACTTAAATCCTTGCATATTTACAAAGTACCCAATTTCAAAGTAAGTTTCTTGAGGGCAGGACCCTATGGTGCTGTGCGGCTGAATGTTCAACAACAGGTTCCCTCAAACCCTGGCATAGAGGGTTTGCCATTTCCATGGTGTAAACTCTAGCACTGTGGCTAATTTCAAACTGCAGTGTGGCATTAAACAGCTTGCAAATTTTCCTGAAAATTGAAAAAGCTACACAGGCTGGTTCCACACACCACTGGCGTCCTATATGACTGACTTCGCTGCTGCAAATAGAGCTGGGGGCTGCTGTGGTTTGAGTGTGCTCCCCAAGGGCTCATTCACTTGCAGCTTGGTCCTCAGCGTGGTGACATTAAGACGTGGGGTCAACCAGGCATGGTGGTGCATGCCTTAATCCCAGCACTCGGGAGGCTGAGGCAGGAGGATCATTGCAAGTTCGAGGCCAGCCTAGGCTACAAAGTGAGCTCAAGGTTAGCCTGAAATGCACAGCGAGACCCTGTCTCAAAAAGACAAAAAAAAAAAAAGGACGTGGGGTCCATGGTAGGTCCTGAGGTGACCTGGGGGTATGGCCTCAGAAGAGACTGAGAAATTTCCTCTCTGACTTCCTGCACTTCTTGTTGGACAACGTGATCTCGCCTGGATGTCATGGGAACTCCCAATCCTAGACTTTAGACCTCCAAACCGTGAACAAAACACACCTCTGCCCCAGGCTGGGGATATAGCTTAGAAGCACAAGTGCCTGCCTGGCAAGTGCAAGGTCCCCAGTTCGATTCTCAGTACAAAACAAAACTCCTCCTTATAAAGCACCCAGCCCTGGTTATTTTGTTACAGTAATGAAAAACAGACTCATAGGACAGTGCCTTCTAATTCACTATAGAACAAGGGCAATCTTTTTAAAATTCAATATAGATGTTGAATTTTCAATTGATTTTTTTTGTTGTTTTATTTGGGGCAGTGCTAGGGACTGAAGATGTTGAGTTTTCAATTGATTTTTTTGTTGTTGTTTTATTTTGAGCAGTGCTGGGGATTGAACCCAGGGCCTTGTGTACACTAGACAAGTTCTCTACCACTAAGCTATATCCCCACCCCCTGGGATAATATTTTCAATTCTGTTTTACCAAATGCCCATTATGGCTGTGTGTGTGGGGGGGGTGGTATTCTACCAAAGTATTTTAGAGAACTACTACTAAGTTCTCTAAAACTGGTAGAAATGACTCCAGGAATAAAAATTTCCTGAATGAGTCACCAAAATAGGACCCTAAGTGAAGGAACCTCTTTCTCTCCTCTAACAAAGATCCTCTGTTTATCTACCCTGCTTCCTTCTGAGTCCTAACAAATAAACATCTCTGACTGAACGATTTCAATTAGAACAGAGAACAGATTTCAGAGAATTCTGTAAGAACCATAAAAGCTGGTTCTGCTGTACTTGGGCAGAGGGATACTGAAGGGAGGAGACTGGGCCAGCTGCCATGCCGCCAGTGACAGAAGTCAGGCAGGCAAATAAGACGTTTATAACACTCACTGGATCTTACGGACTTCTCCCCTAACATCCCTCCGAGCTTTTCCAAGACTTTGGTTGCTCTTCAGTCTTCTGTCTGGATGGTAGATTCATTTGTTGCTTCAGGCCCCAGGGGAGCAGTCTTGCTTGCCTCATGCAACCCCATACTCACTACAGCCACACAGCTTGGGCTAGAAGGGCCTGTTCTGCAAAGCTGGGTGACAGACATACGCTAGGAGGGCTCAGCCGCCACAGGGGAGCCAGTGCCATCCATCACCAAGGGATGAACCAAGCTATGCCTGCTGTCACTGGCCAGGTGTGTCTCTCCAAAACGTACGTGTTGAAACCCTGACCCTCAGTGTGAAGCTATTGTATTTCTGTTCTTTTACTGTTTTCCTTTTGGGTACCGGCAGTCGAACTCAGGGCTTCACCGCTGCCAGGCAGGCGCTGCAGCGCTGAGCTACATCCCCCACCCGGAAGCTATTATATTTAGAGGTGGGTCTTTGGGGAGGTAATGAAATCCTGCGGGTAAGCCCTCTTGAATGGGATTTGTGCCCCAAAAGAGCTCTTTCCTCCACTTTCCAAATGTCAAGGTCACTTTATCTCGAACTTCCAGACTCCAGAATTGTGAGAAAGAAATTTCTGTTATTTATAAGGCTCTCTTATTTTGTTAGAGTAGCCTGACCTAAGACAACTGGCTAGAGTTAAAGTGCCTTGTCATCTTTTTAAATTTTTTGTACCAGGAATCGAACTCAGGACCTTGCTCTTGCCAGGCAGGCGCTGTGCCCCTGAGCTGTCTCCCCAGTTCCAGGTTAAAGTGCCTGGCTTCTAGGAGTTTCCAACAGTGGGACGATTCAGTCAGTTGTTGACTGCTATCGGCAGAGGCTTTGTACTGGTGCCTTTTGTATTTTAGTGAGTCTTTAATAATTTTGTAGTAAAATGCTCCTTTTTTGTTTTCTTGAACTACATACAACTACCATTATTTCTATTACAGTTAGTTTCTGATAGCTAAACGGCTCCAAACATTCATTTTTAGAGGTATGTATGTATTAAACTTGTAACTACGGTCATTCAAGTTCACAAAATATCACTAGTCACATGTAAACATCTTCCTCTAGCTGATTTAAATACCCTGTTTTAGGGAATATGAGGAAACCCATAGCTGCCCCAGGATGCTAAGCCGAGCAGAGCGATGGCCCCAGGACACCTCATCCACTTGAGTTCTTTCCTGCCACACAAACCCAGCGGAAGACGGAGAACCCAGAGACTCGGCTCCTATGAAAGCTGGGGACACTGACCATGCCTTGGCCTGGTCATCCAGAGGAAGACAGTGCCTTACTCCTTTCTTTCACCCATGAGAATTTCTTTTCTGAAAATGATGAAATAGTAGACACGCAACAACTTTGAAAAGCAAAGGCATATGCCAAAGCAGCCCCCATTTTTCTTTAAGATAACCAGGAAAAACACTGCCAGGAGAGGTCAAACTCTCAAAATCTGTGGTGGGCACAAAATCCCCATGTTAAGTCACAGGAACTGGGTGTTCCTAAATTATAGGAGCTGGGTGTTGATGCCTCCCCCACCCACAGCAAGACGCTTCCTCTGAGAATGTCGCCTCCTACCTACAGCTGCTTGCAGCCTAGGCTCTTGTCCACAGGGATGCAGCTCGGCCAGGGACAAATGACCAGACTGGGCCAATGACAGGCCCTGGCTAGAGACCCAGAGAGCCCCGATCAGGGTCTTTGGCAGGGCAGAGCGAGGACAGGTGTGGGGGATTTGTGGGAATTCCCTGCACACGGGCAAACAAGCAGCTCACACGCCATCGGGGAGACACACTCGTCATAAGGGAGAGAGGATCAGGGCCTGCACACTCAGGCGGGCGCGAGTGGCCACAGGCTCCAGCCACATGGGAGGGGCACCATACCATCTCAGGACCCGGCCTCAGGCTTGCGTTTTCTGTGGCAGCCTGCTCAAGCAGATCTGTTTCACCATATCTGCTGTTTGCTCCCCTGATGCATGCTTCCGGTCCCCTGGACCCCACCCACCCTGCACCCAGTGTGTCTGTACACGACAGGGCCCTGGCCCAACACCACCTCCCTGCCCTCCAGCCTCTTTGCCATTGCGAGTGTAGACAACCAACCTAACGCATATCAAGCCACAGACCTAACTCAGGCTGGAGCCCGTACTCACCTGCTCCAGCCCCGGCCCACATGCCGGCCCTTCCTTCTGCATGGGCCCCCAGCGACACCCAGCGGAGCAAGCACCAGAGTGCGAACCGTCCCCACCACGGACTGGAAGCCCAGGGCACAAAAGCAAGCTCTTTCTCCATGGGAACGTGCTGAAGAATAGGGCAGCAGGGCCTTTGGAAAACTCAGAAGTGAGCAGGAATCCTGGGCTGTGCCTTTCACCTTTAGGGGCTGGGCCCCTCCCTCCCCACCACCCTTGGGCTCGCTCTGCCGCAGACCCCTCGGCCTACCTGGGATATGAACGGCGCCACCATCGCCCCGATGCGGCACAGGGAGCCGCTGGTCCCCATCCCCAGGGCGCGCATCGTGGTGGGGTAGACCTGTGAGAGGCACGAAAACCCATCACTGTCCCCTCCTCTTCCCATCCTCCCTCCCGGGCCAGGCTTTGGTGCTCAGAAAACCGGATGGACTTCAGGTCACAGAAGCCCTCATGTCCTCTGGTACCCAACTTCGGATGTTTATAACAAGAAATATCGGCCAAAAATAAGCACTTTCGGGAGTGTTCTTTAAGTGAGCCTCTGTCTAAAATGTATGTAGTCTAAATTTTAAACAGGCTCTGGAATCAGACACCAGACTCCCACCTTAGAGGTATAAGTGTATAAAAATGATTCTCCTGCATGGAAAAAAAAGTTCTCCCCTAGAAATGATGACCTGATGGAATCTTTAATACAGCCACAGTGAGAAGAGCTGACTTCGGGGCCAGGCACCTGCCACACTCACACAGTCTCATCAAAAGCAGTTGTCTCAGCTGTCGTACAATCTTATAGATCTTCCACTTTCTTGCCTTTTTTTTTTTTTTACATTTATAGTAAAACTGCATTAATCTGCACTTCATTTTTGGTTTGTTTTGTTTTTGCGATAGGGTCTTGCTATGTGGTCCAGGCTGGCCTTGAACTCACAGTGATCCTCCTGCCTCAGCCTCCCAAGCACAAGGATTAGATGTGCACTTTACCATGCCTGGCTTGATTCAGAGTTCTTATAGGAACTGGCAGACATTTAAATAAGTCAGCAAGCATTAAATAAAATTACAGGGAGATATCTTAAATAGAAAATGGTTTTTTGAATTTTGGGAACTTTTTAAAAATGCTACACAATACTGATAAGGTCATTTTGATTTATTCAGTAAAGCGCATGTAGCTCTTCAGTGAGCCACATCTTACTGACCACCATCTGTCAAAGGCAAGAGAGCAAAATGCTTTTCTGCCTCTATTTTATAGAAGAAAGTCTGAGGGTAGAGTGTCTTTATGGGCAGCTTTTATTTGTGGTGCTCGGTATTGAATGCAGGGTGCTGAGCATGTTATACCAGAGCTATGTCCCTAGGACTACTTTTAAATTGTTTGGAGACAGAGTCTCACTAAGTTGCTCACACTTGCCTCTAACTTTGCAATTTTCCTGCCTCAGCCTCCCAAGTAGCTAGGTGTGTGCCATGGTATCTAGCTGCTTTATTTTCTGAAAAATGAGGCTGGTGGTTATGACTGAAAATCATGAGTTTTTCAGATACATGGAGATGTTCTTTTCTTTGCTATTATATTGATAAAGTCTTTGCTTAGGTTCTGAGTCACTTGGAACTTAACAATGATATACTATCACTTTAGGTACACATCTTTGGGTGTTAACAGTAGGTATTAAAAATACTTAGAAATGACCCTCAAGATGAGCATATTTCAAGATATGTGTTTCATTGATTTTTTTTTTTTTTTTTTTTGGTTTTTTTCCGGTACCAGGAACCGAACTCACGACCTTTCGCTTGCCAGGCAGGCGCTTTTGCCGCTGAGCTAAATCCCCGCCCCGATATGTGTTTAATTGAATACTACAAAATACAAGCCTAAAAGTGCAATTTAATGTTACACAGACTTTTTTTTTTTGGTTCATAAATTCAAATCATAATTTTACATGTCAGTGGAATGAAATGAAGTATTACATGTAGTTCAAATATCTTATAATTTCCTATTTTTATCATGTGGGCAGAAAGAACAGTACTTTTCTCTGTGACTAGAATGTTTTTTTGCAAAAAAAAAAAAAAAAAAAAAAGAATGTTTTTTTGCTTTGCTTTGGTTTGGGTTTTTTTGTACCGGCAATCAAACTCAGGACCTCGTGCTTGCCAGGCAGGAGCTGTGCTGCTGAGCTATAACCCCAGCCCATAGCATGGTTTTCAACAAGTTAGATCTTTACTTGGAACAGCTAAGATGAGAATGATCCTATCTTGGGCTAGGGATGTACCTCAGCGGCATAAGTGTCTGCCTGGCAAGTGCAAGGTCCTGAGTTCAATTCCTGGTACAAAAAAAAGAAAAAGAAAAAGAAAGAAAGAGAATGATCCTATCTTTCCCAGCCCCCTTGTACCATCTTCTCCACCTTAGGGAAGGACAAGACCACCTCAAATGCCGGCAAGACATCTTCCAGCTAGCTCAAGCAGTGCCTTACATAGAGAAGACTTATTAATTCTATAATCAGTCAATAAAGAGTAAATCCTAATTAAATTCAAATTTAAACTATATGCAGCAAATAACAAAGACAGAGAAAAATGATATTCCAAAAGAATAAAGGAAATCTGGGCATGGTGGCACATGCCTATAATCCTAACACTCTGGGAGGCTGAGGCAAGCAGATCACAAGTTTTGGCCCAGCCTGGGGAATTAAGCAAGATACTGTCTCAAAATAATAATAATAATAATAATGATGGTAGTAATTACACTAATAGGCTGGGATGATAGCTCAGGGTGAAGGGCCTGCCTTTAATTCCCAGTACTAAAGAAGGCTGGCGCAGGGAGGAGGCGGACAAGAGAATGACACCTGATTTCAAGGAGAGACGGACTCTCGCTGCCCCTGCCGTTCTGACGGTGGCACAGAGCGGGGCAAGGAGTGGCTTTGCACAGCCATGCCACGTAGTGAGAAAGGGTCCCGCCGTTCCTCTCTGAGCCTGGCGTACAACAGATTACACGGGAGGGGGAAGAATCCACAGCGTCATGATGTCATTTGAGTGGGATGCTGAAAGGGACTCACCAGAGGGAGGAGTCACGGTAGAGCTGCCCCTGGCTTGAAAGCCCCTCTCCGCAGCTCACCTTGCACGCCTCACACACGCACCCCGCCCGCCACTCACCTCGGCGGTGTAAATGTAGATGGTGTTGAAGTTGGCGGCCACCAGGGCTCTCAGCATGAAGAGGAAGCCGATGAGGCCAGCGCTGCGGGACAGGGAGCAAAGGGAAGTTAGGGGGCGACAAGGGTCTGGGCGGGGCCTCTCAAGAGGCCTCTCAACCTGCGGAGGCTCGGGTCCCTTCTGTTTTTGGGTTTGTTTAGTTTTTTTTTTTTTTTTGTCTATTTTTGAGACGGGGTCTCACTCGCTATGCAGTTCAGGCTGGCCTCGACCTTGCCACAATCCTCCTGCCTCAGCCTCCTAAGTGCTGGGATTACAGGCGTGCGCCACCACGCCTGGCTTTCGGGTCCCTTCTATAAAATGGTGTAGTATTTGCATAGCATCTTGAGATTACTTATGATACCTCATCCAAAGAAATGCTATGTGAGTAGTTGTTATACGTGTTGTTTAGAGAATAACAACTGGGAAAAAGTCTGTTGCACCCTCTCAGTATAGATGCAAAAAACTTTCCTTCTTTGGGTACTGGGGAATGAACCCAGGGCCTTCACAACTGAGCTACATCCCGAGGCCTTTTTCATGTTTTGAGACAAAGTCTGTTTCAATTGCGCAGGCTCAAACTTGTGATCCTCTTTCCTTAGCCTCCCAAAATGCTGCAGCACCCAGCGCACAATTTTTTTTTGGACACAGGCTTTCACTATGAAATTCAGGCTGACCTTTAACTCACTATGTAGCCCAGGCTCATTTCAAACTCACAGCAATCTCCTGTCTCAACCTCTGAAATGCTAGGATTACAGGCGTGTGCACCACACCCAGCTTGCAAATTTTTTTTTTTTTTTTTTTTTTAGTATCTTCAATCTGCAGTTGGTTGAATCTGTGGGTGACCCCTCTAGGATTACAAATTACAAGTGAAATGATTTCCATAGCACAGATATGGAGCTAAACTATCTAGGCATTCATCCAGGTAACTTGGTAAGCAATTAGGATTGCTCTCCAGAAAGCTTGGCACAGAGTTCCCAAGTATTTTGGTGGATGAAGTGAGTACCCCCACACCAGGCTCATATCCCATGATGGCTGAAGGGGGCGGGGCCGCGGGAAGAGGAAGTAGCCATGCAGCCGGGCCTGAGACTTCCGGTCAAACTAGCAGCTCATTCTCTACTCTCCCTGGGGAAGGGTCTGGTCCTGGACCCCACTGAACACCTGGGGTCTGGAGGACCTATTTGAAAACCACTGCACAGAATGTTCTCAAACACCCAAAGGGGAAAATACCTGGAAGTACAAATATTGAGGAGAAGGAAAAATAAAGCCGTGCATCCCATGGTGATGGAAAGGCTCAACCGTCTTCCCAGGAAATTGATGCCCAGGATGTTTAAAGGGTTCACTGGAAAGCAAACAGCAAAGACAGCTTTGCAGCCTCGGTGTACAGCCGCATTTCCCAGCACGGGCGTGGATTCATCCTCATCACTTCAGAAAGCAGCACTCTCAGCCAGACCTCTCCAATGTCCCCTCCAGAACTCAGCCACATCATCATCAAACTCACCACCCCCTCAATCTATTCTCCCCACAGGGGTCCAGGACTGCCAAACACTGGTGTGCAAAAAGATATTTTCTGTGCAAGATGCTCACTGTGTCTCAGAGCTCTGTGGTAAATGGCCAGGTTGCTAGACCTGTGCTTTAAATGATGTTCACCGTTTCTCACTGAATTCAAGGTGCCACTGATTTTTTTTTTTCTTTTGTCTTTTTGAGACAGGGTCTCACTATGCAGTTCAGGCTGGCCTTGAGTTCACTTTGTAACCCAGGCTGGTCTTGAACTCACAATGAGCCTCCTGCCTCAGCCTCCCGAGTGCTGGGATTACAGGTGTGTGCCACCACGCCTGGCAGGGTGCCACTGATTTTTAAGTACCATCATTTTGTATCAGCTACAACAGAAATAATACTGCCAATTGAAATCTAAGTAGTACAAGTCTATATCCCAGCACTGGGAGGCTGAGGCAGGAAGTATAGCAAAGTTCAAGGCCAGCCTGAGAAACTTAGCAAGACCTGGAAGGAAGAAAGGAAGGGAGGGAGGGAGGGAGGCAGGAAGGCTGGCAGGAAGGCAGGAAAGGAAAGGAAAGGGAAGGGAAGGGAAGGGAAGGGAAGGGAAGAGAAGGGAAGAAAGGAAAGGAAAGGGAAAGGAAGGGAAGAAAGGAAAGAAAGGAAAGGAAAGGAAAGAAAGGAAAGGGAAAGGAAAGGAAAGGAAAGGAAGAAAGGAAAGAAAGAAAAGGGAAAGGAAAGAAAGGAAAGGAAAGGAAAGGGAAAGGAAAGAAAGGAAAGGAATGGAAAAGAAAGGAAAGGAAGAAGGAAGGAAAGAAGGGCAGACAGACTGACATACAGGACACAAATTAACAAGTCATTCCCATTTCCGAGAGGTTAAAGAGTGTGTGTGTGTGTGTCCTAGAAATGAGGTAATACAGGGATCCAAAGCTTTGGTCCTCCAGGGCCCTCTTCCCCACACTAGTCCAAACTCAAGGCAAACTGGCAGAATTTGGGGCTTTGTGCAGTTCCAGCAGGCAGGAGCCATGTCCCAGGCTCACCCCTATCTCCTGAGACTCAAGATGCATGCAACCTCCTTGCCCCAAACAAAACAGAGAGGACACCGACACACACAGGGACACGTACAAGCAATCTCCCCAAGGGTGCTGATGATCATGGTCCGGTAGTCAGAGGGGGCAAACAGGTGGCAGTAGCAGGGGCTCTGGATGCCCTCTGAGTCCACGCTGTGCACATCCTGGGACTCCGACTTCGCCCCACACACCAGGTCCCGCTCCAGCAGCTCTGCACTTGCCAGGATGACCCCATAGTAGGCGAAAGAGATTCCCAGCCTGGAAAGGAGAGAAATCACACCAAGCTCGCACCAGCCCTGCAGAATGAAAGAGAAACACTCCGCAGAGGGAAGGAGGGGAGGCATCTCAAGCAGAAGGCACAGGACAGAAAAGGCAGAGATACACCAGGTCTGGTGGTGCACGCTTGTAATCTCAGCACTCAGGAGACTGAGGCAGGAAGATCGTTGCGAGTTCGAGACCAGCCTGGACTACAAAGTGAGCTCACGGCCAGCCTGAACTGCATAGCGAGACCCTGTCTCAAAAAGACATACATATATACATAAAAATAACGCATGGTAGGAGATTAAAAGCTAATGATTAGAGAAAATTATAACAACACATTATAATACAAGTTATGCAATGACTCTAATGAATCAAGACAAATATTAATATTTTCAGACCATGGTGAGCTAGGGGGTAACAGAAACCATGGGAAGCAAAACCACAAATAAGGGGGTACTATGCTAAAACCTGCTTATGTTGGTGCCTCGGTTTATGAACTTAATTTTTTTTATGATTTGGGGGAAGATGGCCGCATTTGTGTTTGTTGGGGGAAGATGGCTTTGGTTGTATTCTTCACCCAGTGCACAGTTTGCAAACAGAAGCAAAATTTTACTGAATGTTTTTGTTTGTGAACGGAATTATTTGCAAATAGAAGCATTTGTGAACTGACGTATTGCTGTACTTAAAACTGGTTTTGAAATAATTGTGTTCTTACCATATGACCCAGATCTGTAATGTGGTCCGTAAATATTTAGCATCCAGCAGGTCTGCAAATCTTCCCCTTTTTTCCTGGGGTAATGAAAGTGGGGGAGACAATACATTGAGCAGAATATTTCTGCAATATTTTAGATCACAGGAAACAGCAATAAGCCAGGTGTGATGGCGCGTGCCTGTAATCTCAGCACTCTGAGAGGCTGAGGCAGGAGGACAGCAAGTCTGAGCACAACCTGAGCAACTCGGCAGGATGCACTTCAAAAAATTAAGCAGCTCAGTGCAAAGGCTCTGGGTTCAGTCCTGTGTCACCAAAGGAAAAAGAAAAAGAAAAGAAAGCTGGGCATGCTGGTATATGCCTATAATCGCAGCAGTTGGGAGGCTGAGGCAGGAGAATTGCCACAAATTCAAAGGCCAGCTGGAACTACATAATGAGACACTGTCTCAAATCTCAGCACCCGCCTCAAAAAAAAAAGCAAGCAAGCAAACAAAGCAAGAATGCATAAGGTAATATGACAGAGGGAGATAATCACTCCATCTCCATGGCACACCTGACCCAACACCCTATACAACTTCCGTCCCCACATTCATCTCAGCCACTCACTCTTTGGCATCTTACTGTCACTGGCCACAGCAGAACTCACTGGACTTAGGATCTGACCCCGCCCTCTCCTCCCTCCTCACCAGTGCTGCGCTGGGCAAGGAGGGGAAGAGACGCTGTAAGAAGCAGGACTTGGCGAACAGGTGAGGGATTCGTTTCAATTAACATTAAAAGGAAAAACCTTATATTAAAGGATGACATTAAAGCCTGTGTATGAAAACAATGAATCTGAAGAGGAGATAAGAGTGCCGGTTCCTCTATCTCTAAAGGAGTAGTTAGCAAAGCTTCCGAGCTATGGTCGGCGCCTACTCAGTACTTTCCGATAAATAAATCAGTAAGGCTGCGTAACCTAACACTATGCGCTGATGCATTTTTTATGGAAAGCTCACAGTGTTCTGGAAGACGCTCACTTGAAAACCAACTATTCCTCTCCTAAAAAGACCGAGGGTCACAGGCCTCCCAGAGAGACAAAGAGGGACCTTAGGACTTCTGGGCTTCACTGTCGCAACACAGCCTGAAGGCAATTTAGGGATCTCTTAAAAGCAAGGACTTCTGAATTCAGCTCCCTGAGGTCATTAATCTCCTCCCCCAGCCCTCACAGAGATGGGTCAGACATCCCCCTCCTCCGCACCGCTGGTCACCCTGGGTAACCCCACGCACTCCCAACCTGCCTCCAGCACTCCCAGCCTGCCCCGCGCACTCCCAGTCTACCCCGCGGCTCCAGTCTCTGCGTCTGGGCTGCCGTGAACCCATTCTTTCACACAGGATTCTCAGCTCACTAACCACAACATGAGAAACTTGAGGAAGTTCTGCGTAAAAGTAGAGAAGCCACACAATACAGAAAATGAAATTGGAAGCCAGACAGAAAATGGAAATTTGGCTGGGTGTGGTGGCACATGTCTATAATCCCAGCACTCGGGAAGCGGAGGCAGGAGGATTGTTGTGATTTCGAGGCCAGCCTGGGCTACATAGTGAGTTCAAGGCCAGCCTGGACTAAGGTGTGGTGGCGCACACCTGTAATCTCAGCACTCAGGAGGCTGAAGCAGGAGGATTGTTCTGAGTTCGAGGCCAGCCTGGACTACATAGTGAGCTTAAAGCCAGCCTGAACTGCATAGTGAGACCCTGTCTCAAAAAGACCAAAAAAAAAAAAAGAAAGAAAGAAAAAAGAAAATTATGCTTAGGAATGAATTTTACTCTCTTTTCTTTCTTTTTCCTTTTTTTTTTGAGACAGGGTCTCACTGTGTAGTTTAGGCTGGCCTTGCGTTCAGGCTGGCCCTCAAACTCATGGCAATCCTCTTGCCTCAGCCTCCCAAGCACTAAGATTACAGGCATATACCCCTGCAACTGGCTATGAAAGGAATTTTTAAAAATATACAATAGCTTTTTTAAAAAAATGAAATAACAAGGGATCAAACTAATCAAGGAAGTGAAAGAACCCTACAATGAAAACTACAGAACACCGAAGGAAGAAACTGTAGAAGTCATTAGAAAATGGAAAGAACTAAAAAAATTAACCTCCGCCAAATAACCCCCTTGTTTATAGGTCAGAAAAGCTAATATTGTGAAAGTGGCCAATTACCAAAAGTGATCTACAGATTCAACAGAATTCCTACTAAGATATCAACATTATCCACACAAGTATAAAAAAATCCTGAATTTCATATGGAATCAAGAAAGACACAGAACAGCCAAAGCAGTCATGGGCAAACAGAAAAATATTGGGGGGGGGGCACAGACCACACCTCATTTTATCTGATAATGCCCAAGTGACAAAACCAGCACAGAAGCAGCACAAAAACAGAAATGCAGACTAATGGAACAGAACTGAAGGCACTGAAACACAACCAAAGCACCTACATCCATCTAACTTGTTTTTGTTTTTTTTTGTTTTTTGTTTTTTTTTTTTTGAGATAGGGTCTCATTTTGTAGACCAAGCTGGCCTTGAACTCAGAGCTCCTCCTGCCAGCCTCCTGAGGGCTGGGATTACAGGCATGTGCTACCACACTCAATTTCCTAGATATGCTTCTGATATCTAGAATCTATAAAGGACTCAACCCACTAAAACAAAAATCAGAGCGTGGGCAAATAAACTGAATAAATATTTCTCAAAAGAAGTCGTTCAACTGACCAAAAAGTATACGGAAAATGTTCAGAAAAATGCAAATCAAAACTGGGGCTTTCCTCTCACCCCAGACAGAATGGCTATCATCAAGTATATATAAATGGGGCAGGGATACAGCTCAGTGGCACAAGAGCCTGCCTGGCAAGCAAAAGGTCCTGAGTTCAATTCCCAGTACCAAAGAAAACCAAGAATATATAAATGAACCCACGAATTGGGAAAAAATTTTAGCTGTCCCTCAGACAAAGGACTTCTATCTAGAACATATAAATAATTTTTTAAAAATCAGGCCCCCAAAATTCAAAGACTCAATCCAAAACTGGACATCTGAGATGAATACATACTTCTCAGATGAAGAAATACAAACGGCAAATAAACAAATGAAAAAATGTTCAACATCATTGGTCATTCAAGAAATGCAAATTAAAACAATACTGAGATTCTATCTCACCACAGAAAGAATGACTATCATCAAGAAATCAACCAATAACAAATGCTGAAGGGGCTGTGGGGAAAAAAGGACCCTTCTCCACTGTTGGTGGGAGTGTAGACTGGTGCAACCACTGTGGAAATCAGTGTGGAGACTCCTCAAAACACTAGGATTAGAGGTTGCATTCAACCCAGCTATTCCCCTCCTGGGTATTTTCCCAGAAAAATTAAAAACATCATACCACAGCAATATACGTGCACTCATGTTCATAGCAGCACAATTTGTAATAGCTAAATCTTGGAAACAACCCAAATGTCCATCAACTGAGGAATGGATAAAAAAAAGATGTGGTATTTTTATACAATGGAGTACTACTCAACTATAAAGAAAGATAAACTCAAAGCTTTTATAAGTAAATGGATGCACCTAGAGATCATACTTATAAGTGAAATAAATCAGACTTGCATGTGTAAACATTGTATTGTCTCCCTAGTGTAAGAACCTGAAAGAGTAAATAAAATCCAAAAGGTACAGTAGATATTGTGAAAGGGAAAGAAACTGCTCAAAAGGAATAACAACTGGGATGGGGGAAAAGAGAAAAGAAGGAAAGGGAAAAAAGACATGTATATACACAAAAGAAAGCGAGAATAATTGTACTACTTATTTCTATGAGTTCATTGGAAGGAACAGTTAGGGCTGGGGATATAGCTCAGCGACATAAGCGCTTGCCCGGCAAGCCTAAGGTCATGAGTTTGATTTCCTGGACAAAAAAAAAAAAAAAAAAAGAAAGGAATAGTTAGTGCCTATACTGTTTGAACGATTTTGCATGCCTGTATCTGGTAATATGAGCAACTACTTTGAAGACAATATACAATATAATAACCATTGTTAATTTCCTATCATCTTGTTTTGAAATTCTGTATCATTTTTATTGTTTTTTTTTTTTCCTCTCTTTAAAATAAAAAAGACTGGGAGTGGTGGCACACACCTGTAATCCCAGCACTTGGGAGGCTGAGGCAGGAGGATCCTTATGAGTTCGAGACTAGCCTGGGCTACAAAGTGAGCTCAAGGCCAGCCTGAACTGCATAGCAAGACCCTGTCTCAAAAAGACAAATAAGTAAATAAATAAATAAATAAATAAATAAATAAATAAATAAAATTTTAAAATGAATAATAAATGCCAGGCAGAGTAGTGCATGCCTGTAATCCCAGCACTCAGGAGGCTGAGGCAGAAGGATCACCACAAGTTTGAAGCCAGCCTGGGCTCCATAGTAATTCACAATCAGCCTGGACTACAAAGTGAGATCCTGTCTCAAAAACCAAAGGAGGAAAAAAAGAATCCCTAAAATAGCGAATGCTGGCAAGAACACACTACACTGCTACTGCTGATGGGAATGCAGATTAGCACAGCCACTGTAGAAACCGATGTGAAGATTCTTCAAAAACCTGAACACAGAAGCACCGCTGGATCCAGCTACACCACTCCTGGGCACGTTCCTGAAGGACCGAGGACAGCCTGTTGACCTGATACCTGCATACCAATGTTCATAGCAGCGAGGTTCACAGCCATCAAGCTGGGAAGCTGCCAGGAGGCCCGGGAACAGACGAGCACACAAGGGAAGGGTGGTCTATATGCACAGCGGACTGCTACTCCGCCAGGAAGAGGAGATCCTGTCCTTCACAGAAAAATAGATGGAACTAGAAACTGGCATGTGCTGGTTTAGCCAAATTAGCCAGACGCAGAAAGTTAAATACTGCATGATTGTCTCAGCTGAGAAACCAAATAAAAATAAAATTGAAAGGCGAGGTGAAGGAAACCAGAAGGTAGACTTTCGGGGAAGGCGGTAACGGATTGAAGGCTATAGCTCATCGGTGGTGGTAAGCACACACCCCTCCCAGCTCCTCTCCTGTAACACTAACAGGCGCTC